AGTGGGCGTGTACGTTCGTTATCCGGCTCTCTGCACACATGCTGCTCTGCTTGTGTTCATCTTCAGTTCTCTCTTCACAGCAGTTCAGTCAGTGTACTGTTTGAGTAAATTAATTACTCCGGGATATTGGTTTATTTCGACTCAGGAGTGTCAGTCATGTTAAAAAAGTGAATAACTTAAGTAATTTGTGGATTAATGCTTACTGGAGACGCGAACCGTTTCAAACGATTCAGTCCGATTTGGTGAACTGGTTCAACCGGTTCACTAACAAGAACCGGTTAAATCGAACGATTCGTTCGTGAACCGGACATCACTAATTTCACATAGACGCTGAAGCTGCGGCTGAGATCGGTCAGTTGTTCACAGTGTACGGCGAATGGCACGTATGCTGCGTTCAAGTCCTCCTGGGACGTTCGTACTTACGAGTTGACAAGTCGTAATTACGACGTCAGGTGCGTTCAAGTCAGTTTAGTCGGCACTGTAGGCGATAGGGAAGGATTCACAGTGTAAACATGCTTTCGATTGGGGCAAATGAGGTCTGGTTTCACGTTGTGTCACACAAACCGCATGTTAGTCGTTCATTCACTGTTCATTTTAAACCATGCATCTGATATTACCGCTGTATTTTCATAGGTGGTCTTTTCTGAAAAAGGATGCCTATTGCATGTTTACATTTATAGGTAAAACTTCTCAAAGCTGAGTTTTATAATGTTATTTGTTGTAATAACTGACAACACATTTGCCAAATTTGATTATTGTTTCATTTTCAGTAAAATCGGATTTTGCATAATAGGTCAACCCCCTTTTACATATAATTAATACATATACACACATATATATATATATATATATAGTGTATGCCATAAAATGTACAAGACATGAAATAATTACTAATGCAGATTTTTACAAAACCATTCATTTAACAACTCAAAGCCATTAAACAATGAGGAAATATGGTGTATTTATTTTTAAATGTTTATATACGATTTGATATTTATAAACTTTTTATAAATAGACATTTGCATGACCCATAGAAAATGGTAAAAACCACTTACAATTTAATAAATTTCAGCCAGTTTACCATAATTGTTTTCAACATTTTTATTAATCATTGGGTTTGTGATCTGGTTTTCAAGAGACCAAAAACTCAGATTTACAATAGGGTTTTGTACAAATTTGGGTTGATGGATTGTAAATAAATTTGCCAATGATAATAATTATACATTATAATATTAAACATTTGAGCAGTCAAACATCTATATTCAATGAACTATGAAGTGACATGCTTCAGTTCTGCATCTTCATTAACAGTGGAAGGCGTATTCGCTCTCTGACTGATCACCTGAAGAAAAAATGATGTTAACGTTCATACAACAATGGAAACTTGCACATGGAATAAATCTGAATAACCTGCTTGATGATAAAAACATTCAACAGTGGCATATAAAATCTTACTTGTTTGGTAGTAATCATACACCTTGACCACGGCGGGCTTGAGATTCTTCACTGGAAGATCCTGTTTCATTTGTATCTGATAATTCTTCTGAATATTTTTGGGGATCTGCAGGAGGAAATAAACTCATCAGTCATGGAAATTATGGATAAAATGTTTATGAATCGACCTTTAAATGACATAAGATCATATGAATGTTGCTATTCTCTCACCTCCTTCAAATACAAAATGACATGATCATCTTTAGCATCGACCCGCTCCACAAGTGATGCGTACGTTCCAGAAGTTCCAAGCTGTGTGGAAAAAGTACTGGTTAATCTCTAAATACTGACCTCTAAATACTTTTCTAAATATCCTTTTAATTACTGTCCCTGGATCAGTAGGATACTCTTCTAATGAAGTAGCAGTAGGACAGATTTTAAGTATCAATTCTGCTTAAAAAGATGCAATCTAATCCTGTTTACATGAAATAAGCCTGCTCCCGGGCAGGTTTAAGCTAACAGACCTGTTGCTATGACAGCAACTCCGGGATGAGCTTCGAAGAACCAAACAATCCAAGATCAGGCGAAATCGTCAACAATCAAATCCAGCTAACTGAGTTAGTGACGTACGAAGAACGGGCCCCTGGATTTTTTGCCCCAGAGCAACATTTGTACCTTTGGGCCTATGCAAGTTTTATGTAGGCAGCCTTGTAATGCAACTAGGAGAATACTAACACTGACTGGCCATTCTTTAGTCACTCAATTGAACTGGAATGGCTCAAACCAAAAGAGACCTTTTAAGACAGGGCTGTCCAAACTCACTCCTGGAGGGCCGGTGTCCTGCAGAGTTTAGCTCCAACTCTAATTAAACACACCTGAACCAGCTAATCAAGCTCTTACTAGGCATAGAAACTTCCAGTCAGGTGTGTTGAGGCAAGTTGGAGCTAAAC